ACCACAGAATCCTGTCTGGGCTGGGAGGGACCTCCAAAAGTCATCTAGTCCAAGTCATTCCCCTTGTAGCTGCAGGATGAGAAAGGACATTTCTGTTCCTTCTGTCCAGTGGTTGCCCTGGTGGAGCAAACCCTTGGACAAGCTGGAGCCTGCAGCAAGGTTACCCCCTCCCAGCAGCTGAGCTAGCCCCAAAATCTGGGGGTGTCCATCCCTGTTTCCTCTTGGGAAGGACAATGTTGTCATTAATGGCAGGGAGTGACCCTGCTGGCATCCAGTCTTTGCATGGAGCTCAGTGTCAGGAGACAAGGAATGATGCAAAAAGCATGAGGAAAGATAAAAAAGATTTTGGGGTGGTTTGTCAGTCTTGAGAGACTGTGGATGAGTCTTTAATAAGGCAGAAAACATTAAAGAGATAGCAGAGGAAAGAATAAATGAGAAGTAAACCAGACCCCTGTACCTCGTGGCTGCTTCTTTCAGCTGGAATGTCACATTTTCACCTCAGGTTCCTCCTCTGTGGCATGTTTGAATTTGGAGAAATTCACAGAGTCTTTATTTCTTTAGCAGGGTTGCCCCTGCAGTTAAACTCTGACTGCCTTGGAGAGAAGGGTGAGTGGAACAGGTTAGCTACTGGTTGTTACTGGTCCCCAGCAGCACGGGGTGGTGTCCAAACAGCTGTTCCAGATGTGTGCTGGGGTTTTGTTATCCTTTTGTTCTTGCTGGCTTTATGGAGCTGGGTCTTTTTTTTTTTCAAATTTGGGCTCTTTTGGTGCTCATTAGGTCCTATAAATGGATATGGGGTAATGGCTTCAAAATGGGAGAGGGGAGACTTAGATTAGGGATGAGGAAGAAGTTCTTCACTCTGAGGGTGGTGAGACCCTGGCCCAGGTTGCCCAGGGAATTTGTGGATGCTCCATCCCTGGAGGTGTTCAAGGTGAGGTTGGATGGGGCTTGGAGCACCCTGGGCTAGTGGGAGATGTCCCTGCCCATGGCAGGGGGGTGGAACTGGATGATTTTAAGGCCCCTTCCAACCCCAACCACGATTCTCTGATTCTTCTCAATCCCATTTACACAGAGCTCAGTTTATCAGCCCAAATGCTGGAGCTCCTCTGCATTAACCAGCAGCATGAGCTGGGCACTGTCCAGACAGCCCCAGCACATCTGCTCTTTTTTTTGCAGGTTATGAAACCATCTCTGATGAGATTTTTATCTCTTTTTTTTCATTTTTTCCTGGATGGGGTTGACTTGTACCCGGGTGACTGGCTGTGGTGGTGGTTGAGGTCTGAGGAGCAGTATCCAGCAGGGCTGTGCTCAACACTGAGCACTGAGGGCTTTGGAAAGGTTGGAGGGACCCGTGGCAGGACCATCAGCATGTGGCCCAGCTCCCACCTCCAGCTCAGAGCCACGAGGGCAGGAGGTGCCTGGGGCCCTGAGCACAGGCAGGAGCTCTCCTCCACCCAGGCATGTGTAGGAGGTGAAAAGGGAACCAGTCGCTTGTGATGCAAGAGGAAGAGCCTCTGAAAGATGTTGTCAGGTGGTCAGCTCCAAGCTCCAGCCACAGGGTTCTGAGCTGTGCACTTAGAACCTCAGACATCTACCAGGAACAAGGGGCAGGGCGAGAGGAAACGGCCTCAAGTTGCCCCAGGGGAGGTTGAGGTTGGGTATGAGGAGCAATTTCTTCTCTGAAAGGGTTGCCCAGGGCTGTGCCAGGCTGCCCAGGGCAGTGGTGGAGTCCCCACCCCTGGAGGGGTTCCCAAGCTGTGGAGATGTGGGGTGAGGGACACGGGGCAGTGGGGACCTGGCAGGGCTGGGGGATGGTTGGACTTGATCTTTGAGGGCTCTGCTTTCCCAACCAGTTATGATTCTAATTAAAACAGAGAATTGATTCCTCTATCACTCTCTGGGCTTAAGAGATCCATGGGTTCAGGTGCAGGTTGGCCAAGCAGGCTGGAGAAGAGCCCTTCATGTCCCTAGGGAACAATGCAGGTGCAGGGAGCCCCACAACCAGCAGCTGAGGATGGTGGTGCCTGGGCAGGGTTGGTGCCCCCAGCCTGCTGCTCCAGCACTCTCCCCAAGCCACCACCAGCTGCTTTGGTGGCCTCTGCTCTGGCTGAAGCCCCCCAGCTTGGCAAGGCCTGAGAAGGAGGAGGAGGAGAAGAGGGGTGAGCACCCTCCTGCTCCTGCTGCAGCCTCGTTGGGAGTGCAGGTGCAAGTCTCAACCTGCAAAACCAAACCCAAAAAGCCAAACCCTGAGTTGTGCCTCTTCTGGAGGTGGCAGTGCCACGGGGGTGGGGTGATGGGTGCTGTGTGGAAAGGTGCTGAGAGCTCTGCTGACACCCAGAGCTCTCAACCTCTTCCACCTGCTGTCGTGCAGACTTCCCCAGAAGTCCTTCCGTGGTGGGGTGGAGATCATCTGGTTCAACCCCCCTGCTCCAGCAGCTCACCCAGGGTCACATCCAGGAGGGTTTGGGATCTCTCCAGAGATCACTCCACAGCCTCTCTGGGCAGCTGCTCCAGGCTCTGCCACCCTCACCCCAAAGAAGTTTCTCCTCCTGCTCAGGTGGCACCTCCTGGGTTCCAGTTGGTGCCTGTTGCCCCTTGTCCCATCACTGGGCACCACTGAGCAGAGTCTGGCCCCAGCCTCTTGCCCCCTGGGGGCCCTTTAGCTCTTGCTCAGCACTGCTCAGATCCCCCTGGATCTTCTCTTCTCCAGGTTAACCAGCCCCAGGGCTCTCAGCCTGGCCTGGCACAGAGATGCTCCAGCCCCTCAGCAGCTCTGCAGCTTCACCTGGACTCTCTCTGGTAGTTCCTTGTCTCTCCTGAGCTGAGGAGCCCAGAACTGGATCCAGCATGGGCTAGTGTGGATCCTGAGGCATCAGCAGGGCATGGAAATACACCTTCTACTGGTCAAAGCAACATCTTGAGTGTCCAGATCTTCGTGGCCAAGGGCTTGTGAGACCTCTGCGGTGGAGAGCATGGCTTGAGCAAAGCCCACCTGGCTCAGAGGTGCTGTGGGAGGGGAGGGCAGGCAGATCTCTCCTGAATTCATCTCAGGGGAGCTGCCACAACTCTTGCACCCTGTTTCCTGTAAGAAGAGACCGTTAGGGGTGACAGGAGTCACCCACGTGGCTCCAGCAGCTGGGCAACGGCTCCTGCTGCACCCACCACGTCTCCTAGGTGAGAAAAGTTCAGCTTCTAGAGGCTTTTCTTTTTCTCCTCACCAATTTCTGGACCTCCAACACCTCTTTGTGTAACATCTTTTCCCCTCAGAAGCTAAAAGTAACTCAGGGGGGTTGTACAGGACCATCCTGCTCCAGTCCCATGTGGCCAGGGATGGAGACAGCAGCCAAGAAGGTCGGTGGTGGACCTACAGGAGTTGATGTTGTCGTGGTAAACCTCTCCTTGGGGGTAGAGAAGCTGCTGCAGTTGCAGGAGTTTTGCTTTTCTCCCCACCAGGAGGTTAAAAGAATTTTGAGAAGGCCTCTAAAATGTTCTACAGGGGCTCAAGAGGCTTCAGGAAACTCAGTGCCACCACAGGCTGGTCCCTGTGAGCGTGGGGTGGTGATGCAGTTAAATTCCATTTAAAAAAAGTCTTGCTTAAAGGACTTTTTTATCCTATACAGCAGGACTTATATATTTTTTAAGTCCTTTTTCTTTTCTGTGAACAAATTGCCACGTGCTCTGTGGTTGCAGGGCTTCCTCAGGTACAGACACACTGGTTGGGGTGAGGTGGGGGAGGTTTGGTTTATTTTATAGAAGGGTTTTTCCAAAGGGAAGGAAATAAAAGGGCTGTGTTCCAGCACTCTCTGGGATTCACGTGGGTTTTGTACAAAATATAGACTCTTTTATAAATTAAAGCTATAAAACAAGATTGGCATTAAATAATAACCCAATACTCTCACAGTATCTTTACACAGCAAAGTGGAACATTCCAAATGTTCACAGAAAAATAGAAGTTCCCAGAAGGTGCAGACAAAATACCAGCCAGGCCCCCCCAAACTGCTGTCCTTGGATTTGAAAGAAATGGTTCTTAAAAGCACACCCACGTTTGAGCCTTTCCTAAAAATCTCTGGTAGCCTGTTGGGTGGCACCTTAGACTCTGCTGATGGGGAGTTCCCAGGGCAGGGAATTTCAGGAAGGTTTGGTTGCTCTGGTCATGAGGAGTAGATGTGATGCTGCAGGGTCAGTTATCAGCAAAAGGGAAATAATTTGTCTCATCTCTGAGGCAAAGAGGACCTGGAAGCCTTGATGGACCTCTTAGCTTGAGTAGAACACCCTCAAAGCCCAGCCCTGTGGTTGGAGTTTATCCAAGGCAGCATCCTGGCTCTCAACCATATGGCTTTTGAGCCAGAAATGGGAATTGATGGCAGAAAAATAGTGTCTGGCTGTTTCAATGACATCATAGGTCATGGGCTACACCCCAAAACTCAGGCTTGGTTGATTATTTAGGTGGCAAGTCCTTTGGGGCCACCTTACCTCCATGGTCAACATGGCTTGAGGCTTCTTGGCACCCTCTGTGGAATTAGTCACTGCTGGATTGTCTTTTGCTTCAGAAATACAAATTCCTGTGTCACCTCCTCATTTTTAGGATCAAATTCTCTCTGCATAGCAAGACCCCAAAGTCCTTTGCAGCTGAAGCCAGGGTGCATGAGCAGGACATGGCCAAGTAACAGCCTCAGCAGTGACAACGGGGCCACATCCTCCTCCTGCAGCCAAATCTACCTCCTCCTGGCTGCCCAGCTTAGAAAAAGGACCTGTGAATGTAGATAACACTGTGTAGGTGTTATCCACAGAGAAAATTTGCAACCTGAGTCTTAAATCCACAATTTTTTGGTCAGGTTTGGGGTTTTTTTTCGTTTCTTCCTCTCTAACCATCCCTGAAATGAGCAGAAGATTGTCCCCTTCACATCCCCCAACGTCCTGGGGAACAAAAAACTTGGGGCAAACCCCAAAACCCAGTGAACATTTTGAAGCCCTGGCAACAGTTTAGGGGAATCCAAGTACTAGCAGTCTGTGGTGTCCTCCCTGAGCACGTCCCTGGAGTTCTTCCTCCCGTAACTGAGGTGGTGGAGCTGGAGGCTGTCTTGCAAATCCTGCCTGGAGAGGCGTCTCCTGAACTCATCCGTGGTAAAGTAGTAGATGATGGGGTCCACGCAGGAGTTGAGGCTGGCCAGGCACAGGGCTACCACGTGGAACACGGAGATCACCTTCTGCACGCACCCGTTTCGGATCTTTTTGGTTTTGACAAAGAAATCCAGGGGAAAGCTGATGTGGTAAGGGGCAAAGCAAATGAGGAACACCAACGCGCAGGTGAGGATCATCTTCAAAGCCTTTTTTTTCTCCCCCAGGTCGTGGGAAGCAGAATTCTTCTCTTTCAGGGACAAAACAGTCTTCCAGGAGCAGTAGGAGATGATGAGGAGGGGGGTGACGAAGCCCACCAGCTCCGCCATCGTCATCATGGCGATGGAGATGGGAAGGTCGACCTCCTGCACGGGGAGATCCACAAAACAGGTGTTTTTGGCCTCCTTTTGGAGCCTGAGGAGGGGGAAGGGCAAGCAGGCAACGCAGACCACCACCCAGCCCACGATGCTGATGTAGATGTCACAGATGCGCCTGCAGTCGCTGAACCTGAAGGGGTGCATGAGGAACAGGTATCTCCTCACGCTGATGCAGACCAAGAAGTAGATGCTGGCGTACATGTTCACGTACTTCAGGTAGAAGCAAAGCATGCAGAGGCCTCCCCCGAATTCCCACGTCCCCGTCAAGTAGTAGAAGATCCTCAGGGGCAAGGACAAGACCTGGGCCAGGTCGGCAATGGCTAAATTGATCATGAAGATGACGGCCCTTTTGGTCTCCTTCATGTACCCGTAGAAGACCCACAGAGCTAAGGTGTTTCCTATCAGCCCAGGGATCAGGATGAAAGTGTAAGTAATGGCATAGAAGGGCTTGAGGTCTGTTTCAGGGCAGATGGAGCTGTTGGTCATGGTTGAGCTCCAGATCTTTGCTCAGCCCTGGCATGATCCCACGTTCCTCGCTCGCATCCTGCGGCCGCGTTGTCCTCGGGTGGTTGGTGCTGAAGGAGAAGCTCCCACCCTGGCATCCGTGTGTGAGGGTTTGGCTACCAGATCATGGTGTCCTCTCCTGGAGGAGCTGAGTGACTCCAAGTCCTGCTGGTGAAGGTTGTCAGGAGTTAGCAGCCCTTCCCCTGCTCGCTGGCAGGGAGGGGATCCACACCAGGGAAGGCATCATCACCTGCTGGAGACATCGAGTTCATCACCACAGCTCCACCTCTGTCACCTTTTGGGTGGCATTTCAGCCACTGCTCTCAGCACAGGAGTTCCACAACCACCCTGGTCCTGCAGCTGAAAGGCAGAGAGGTGTGGTTAGAATACTGTGGGGACACACAGGTCTTGCAAAGGAGAGCTTGGAAGAGCTACATCCTGCTCCTGCATCTCTGGTCTCTCTGCTCAGCTCATCTCCTGCCAAACAAGCTCCCTGCTTCACCCGGTCAAGGGAGGTGCAAAGCCACCAAGGAACAGACAGAAAATGTGTTTCCTTGCTGCTACAACCCAGCTCCCCCTGTTCCACCAAGCCCAAGTCAGCCCCGATCACAGGACGTTGAACTTGCCACCAGGTTTCTGCAGCTGCACCTTTCCCAGCTCCAACTTGGAAGTCCCAAGTCGGTGGCTTTCACCAAACCAGGGTGAACCTTTTCATTTAGGTTTCCTAAACAGAACAGAAGCCACACAGGGACAACTGGCTTGATTATGAAACACTTTTTTCTGTGGAAGTACCTGCGTGATCTTAAATTGGACTGTCTCACAACTGCTGCTTCTGAGCCTTTCCTCTACCCACCTGGCAGCTTCTCTGTGTCTCTTTGTCTAGTTTCTCTTGCTCACCATGGAGTTGTGAGGCCAATGAGACTCAGATGTTTTCCTTTCTTCCAGGCAGGTGGCATCTAACATCACCAGTAGGGCAAAATGGCTCTTGAAATGATCCCATTCAACTTCAGGAGCCACGATCAATAAGCTGCAGAGTTAATGAACCTTCTGTCCAAAGACTTTCCCACTCTTTTATTAATTCTCTACCCAACTTCTGATGCACCACTAAGCCTTGGAATGTGAGTAATCTCCCCATCATGCAGGGAAATCAGTTGGGGCTCATCTACTTGGTTGGTTTTACCCATTAATTGTGGGTAGCTTGGGCTTCAAGCTTTGGTTTTGGAGCTGGACTGGCACAAGGAACTGGGAGGAGGTTTTGGACGTGGTTGGTTTTTGGCAATACCTGTCGTGCCCTGGGGTTCCCTGAGCCTTCAGGCTCTCAGCAGCTGCTTAACCCCTTTGGGGCTTCCTGGTGGTGCTGCTCGCTCTGGGGGGTTCCTCTTTCTCTCTACTGGGATCAAGCCAAACCAGTTGAGTAAGAGGGTGGTGTGCCCATCTTCACTGTGTCACCAAACTCCTCAGTGGGACGTCTCCAGGCTTCCCATCCAGGTCCTAGTCCTGGTCCTGTTGAGGTGTCCTAGCAGAACAAGCACCTTGTAGGTCCCTGGGCTGTGCACCAGTGACCAGGTGCCCTCCTCTCACTCCTAGAGAGCTCCTCTGTTCCTCTTGGCTTCCCAGATCCCAGCCCTGCCCAGCAGAGCGAGGGTGGCTCACGTGGAGCTCCACAGCTTGGCCTTGGGTGGATTTTCACCTCTTTTAATCACCCAGAACGTCTCAATGTCTTTCCTGAAGGGTGCTCTGAAGTGGCACAGCAGGGAGGAGCTGGGGTGGCTTTGGTGGTGCCATCACTCAGTGCCTGGACGAGGTGTCCTGTTCCTGCAGGTGCCTGTGAGCTCTGCTTGGGGCTGGCTGGGGAGCAGCAACAGGGGGGGGTTGCAAGGTAAAGCCCTAAACTCACATCACCCAACTCTTCCTTCCAGAGATCTGTCAACATTTTCTTGCAGAAAACAAGCCCTGGAGATGTGTTGTTGAGGAGTGGAGACCTGGCAGTGCTGGGTTAACAGTTGGACTTGGGGATCTTAAAGATCTCTTCCAACCAAAACGATGCTGGGATTCTATAATTCCAAGCTGCTCTGTCCTATCAGCTCTTCCCCAGGGGCTCCTGTCACCCAGTCAGGCTGAATCATGCCCCTTTTTTTCTGGCTGCACTTTTGGGTGGGCAAATCCACCCGAGCTCCATCTCTGGGCCACGAGAGATGTGAAAGGAAGGACGAGGTTCAGCCCCAGCCTGTGTTCCCAGCCCCGTGCACACACACACGTGCACCCCAGCACCCACATTTCCCTCTCCCCACTGTGCAACAACTCTCCTCCAACCCCTCCTCTGCTCCCTCCAGCCTGCCCAAAACCTCGGGGTGCCCCCACACCTTCCACCTCTCCCTGGGGCTGCAAACCTGCAGCACGAGGGCTCCCACAAAGCCCAGCTAAAACCAGGGGGCAACGAAGGTGCCGGCCCAGAGCACCCAAAAACCAGCCCCGTCCCAGCAGCCACCCTCAGAGCGAGGCTGAGGGGACCCAGCAGGGTGAGAAACCACGGGCTGGAAATCCCGAGCAGCAGGGCTGCAGAGCTCAGCCCGTGTCAAAAACCAGCAGCCTGCTGACAAAAAAAAACCTTCAGAAAGAGGAAATTTTGTTTCACGTGCTCCGCGCTCGCTTCCCCCGGGCGCAGGGGGGAGGTGTGAGACTCCCCCCTTCCTTCTCCCCCTGAAGGGCTTTCCCACACCCCTTTTTTTTGCCAAAGAGACCCCAAAATTGGCCACTGAGTGAAGAGCTTTGGGTTGTGCTGAATGAGTCAGAAGGAGCAGGGAGGTTTTGTAGCCAGGCTTCCAAACCAGGGCTCCTTAACACGTGTTCAAGCTGGGCACCCAGGGGGTGTTTTTGCTTTGCTGAAGGGCAGCCATGTGTCCATACATCCCTACAGACCAGGGCAGGAGCTGGGGAGGTGGGAGCAGTCACAGCTTCAAGCTCTGGGGTGCAGCAGGGCTCTGCACCATGCCCACACCCCAGCCCATCACACCCTCCAGGAGCAACCAGGCTCCTCACCTGAGGGTGGTTATAATTGCCTGGGGTCAACCCTCGTTGGCCAAGCCTGTGGGTTCTACCCCAGCAGCTCAGACAAGCCCATCTTGGAGGAGAAGAGGCTCATCAACCAGCTTGGAGGCAAAGCAAACCCGTGGCTGGGTGCTCTGTGTAGGTTCTGCCCCGTGCTCGGTCTACTCTTGGAGCTCAGATCTTCAGAGATGCTCCCCAGCACCTCCTGCTCCCACCCAGCACCAGGCCAAGGAGAACAGCCTGGCCAGATCCTGCCCCCAAGCACCATCCTTGGTGCTGCTGGCCCAGGTGAGTGGTGGGCTCCTGGGCACCCCCTGTGTGGTGAGGGGCTGGTGCTCCTGCTGTGAAACACCCAAATCCTGGGGCAGAGGTGGCACGGGCAGAGCAGGGTGCTGACCTGGCACCCCGGTGTCATCTGCTGACTTACCCTTTTGGAGGGAGGCTGGAGCGTGCTGGGACCTCTGGTCTGGGTTTTTTTCCTCCTTTTCTGGGGCCTAAAATAAAAGGAGAGTGTGCACAGGGGTGATTTCAAACAGAAATTTGGGTTCCTGCTGGAGCTGGGGCTCTGTCAGGAGGACGTGGGACCAGAGCAGGGCCAGGCATCTCCAGGAGCTGCTTGTTTCCTGCATCACCCCAAGTGCTCCTCTCCTTTTTGGCTGAGAGAGCTGCTTGTAGTAATAATTAGTAGATATTAATTGAAAATAGCCATTAGAGAAATACAAACTGATTGTTGTGTGTTGCTTTTTAGTTCTTTTAAAAAATGTCAGGGGAAGATAAAGGCATTTTGTCCCTTCTCAAGGGGTTTTTCTCCCTTGAAGCAGCTTTCTAGTAGATATTTGGGGTTCAGATCTTCTTCCACAGGAGCAATATCACCTCTTGCCATCCTAAATGTGGAGTTTTCTTTTATTTCCTCTGGGAGGCTCTGCCCACAGAGGCTTTTGGGCATCCTGGGGGCCTCCTGGGCTTGTCCTGCCCCAGTAGGAGCCCTTCCCCTGCATCCCCAGGCTCCTGGCACCAGCAGCACCTCCCAGCCTGGGGACCAGCACCTGGTGGTACCTGAAAAGTGAGTCCTAAAGGTGGGGAAAGTTGGTTTTGGGGAGAAAAGGAGGAAAAAAAGCAGTGAAACAGCCAAAGTTTTACAGGTTAGGCTGGATGAAAAAGCTTCTTTCTCTTTGTTCTTTCATTAATTTCTCATTTACTCATTATTAAGGTAACTGTTTCTGTGCCTGCCCTCTGCCCAGGGGGGGGGATTTTGAAGGGTAAATTCCAAAAATAGGCAGGAAAAAAATAAACACTTTGGTTTAATGCCAGGGATCTGCAGGGTAAAGAGCAGCAAAGCCACGAGCTTTCCCCCAGAGCATCGCCACATGCTCCCCGGGCTGCATGAGCAGTCGTGGGGACCCAGATAACTCTGTCCCCTCCCTCCCCAGCCCTTGCAATCAGGTGGAAAATTGCCAGTGGAAAGTCAGCCTAGTGCCTCTTGCAAGGGACGGGGCCTTGAAGAAAATCCTCTGGACAAACAGAGCCAGAGGAACCCCAGCGAGACCCGGAGCGAGGAGTAGATGGGACCAGTTGTCCCCATGCTTGTGGAGATGGGGCTGTGTGGCCCCAAAAGGTCCT